CTCAGGAAGAGCTGTACGCTACTGAACACGACTAAATAACAGCAACAAACACACCCATATTTATACTTCCCAATCTAAAAAACAAACAAACCTTGTGGCTCATTAATTTACTCAAATCATTGAAGTATTTCATAATTTGATTTTTTCCATTATGCTTTGATATTTTGGAAGATTTCTAATTGTTGTTAGCTCCTCTCATTGAAGCTCACTATGGCTCCTCCATATTCCCACAGAATACAAAAAAAAACATTATTACCTGATGCTGATCCTTCTGATGATCTAAACATGCCTCTCCATATTTAGATAGTTGATTATCCATCAAAAGACACATAATACACAGATGGGTCCATATTCCAAACTTTTTTTTTTTTTGTACTTGGTACAGTCTAGGAAAACTCAGACTCGCTTCTATACCTCAATGTGATATTGAATATTTATGCTTTGGAGGTTCCTTATTATAATAAAAACTGATTAAAACCCTAGCACTTTACCTCATCACTTCTCTTTGGAATAAGTCAGGTAGCCCGAGCATAATTACAACTAAAAGCCCAGTTTTTCTTCGGTTTGCCTTTACATATTACTCTTCATAGGTTGTTCCAGCCGCTGTGTGGGGCTTAGATATCTCTGAAGAAGCAGTGGCCTGGCCAATGATGCTAGAACCAGCATGCTTTCATTTGGCATATTTTCACTCATGTGAAGAGAAACACAAGACTTGGCTTGACATACCCAGTTGCAAGTAGAAGAGGATAAAGGAAGTAGAAGTGAGGGCTACAGAGGACACGGTCACATTTGCCACATTGCCAAAGGTGGGGAATTTGGACATCAGGTTAGATGATCTTTAGTCATGGTAGAAGAAAGGGAGTTGATGATCCTGTGAGTTGCAGTCATCCCCCCCACCTTCTGGCACCCCAACCTGGCACCCAAGTTATACCAGTTCTTATTATTTTTCCAAGTCCAGTTCAAGGTCAACTGGCTCATTTCACATGGCATATCTGTTCTGTTATGGGATGAGGATTTTATGGGTAGAGTCAGGCTCTTAAGATCAAGCACATTTGGTCGGTTTCCCCACTCTGAGGTCAGAGGAAAGGAAGAAGCGTGACAGAACTAGATTAAATGCATTTATTACGTTCCTACTCTGTGCAAGCACTGTGCTATGTGCTTTCTCAATATTATCTTGTTTAAGATAGCATTTGTATTATGAAATGAAATATCATAAGGAAGGAGGTGCCAATCACTGAGGGTGCATTGGTTATGAAAGTTTATAGCATGGAAGAGTCTAGACAGGGCATGTCTACCAAGGAAAGAAGAAGGGCCATGTCAAAAGCATATGCCTATGAATAAGATTATATTTATTGAGTTGTAGTATACTAAAGACCAAGGAGTAAATAGAAATTCCAAACACTAAGATCTTTTCAGGGACCATTTTCTCTGTTGAGAGGCTGTTTGGTGTTTAATAAAAATCTTGTATTTGGAGTTAGAAGGCTTGGGTTCAAATCCTATCTCTGACATTCACTAACTGTGCTATTTGAGGTGAGTCATTTCATCTTTCTTAGCCTCAGTTTCCTCATCTAAAAAAATGAGAATAATAATAGCATCTACCTCAAAAGGTTTTCTAAATGGGTCAAATGAAAAAAAAAATGCATGCAGATCACTTAAACTTTAAAATGCTATGTAAAGGTCAGGCTTCATTATTATCTATAAAGTAGAGATAAAACATATTTGCAGAGGGGTGTAATTGAACTCTGTTAGCTAGATGACCTTGGAGTTCTTTTTCACTTCTACAATTCTACAACTCTATAATCACAGATACACACAAATTTATTTTGTCATCCACAACAAATATTTATTGTGGACTTATTGAATTCGTGGTGCCATGTTGAACTATTTAATTATGAAGTTATAAAATAAACATAGTTATGAAATTTTCCTAAGCTCTTATTCCTACCAGGGAAGCACATCAGTAGCAGATGGTCAGAGAAATATGTTCGATGATGAAAAGCCCTTTTACAATAAGGAACCATTCAGCGACTTTAACCTGCCTTCTGAATTGCTGGGAAAGCAACAAATTTGGTTTAGAGTTTTTATTTCCTCTAATGGCAGTTACTTTTGTTACTGTTGTTGTGCCTGGCATGTCAAACCCTGCCCCTGCCCAGTTTCTGTATAATATTTGATTTTATTTTCTAATACAGCAGACCTACAAAGAAGTGATCGTTTTATGTTTTATAAAGGATTCTTCAGAAGAATGACAAACAGCAACAAAAAGCTTGAAAGGTAATTTCATCCGTGTTGAACCTCATAAGCAAGCTATCCTAGTAGGGCCTTTTTCAGGATGGAGTGAATCCTTTTCATTAGGAGTTTGAATCCTATTTAAGAGCTTAAATTATTTTTTTTTCCAATTCTGCAGTTCAATAGAATAAGCTATTTCCACTTTCCAAAACAGACCTGGAGAAGCTGCCTGCCAGGGCACAGCTTTCTGGTTTGAGCAGAAAGATCTGAAATCTGGGCCAGTGCAAAGATGATTCTTTCATCTCCCCCAGTAGTTCACAGTTTGAAACATTTGGCCTTAACTTTGCACCTCATCCTAAAAACAGATTTCTAGCTTGTGCTCATATACCCAGGGGCCTGCAGCTACTGAGGAAACTGAAGCTTCTAGACTAGTCAAAGAGACCTCATTAACTGTCCATGTTGTTTTCTGAACTTGTGCTCAAAGATCATCTCACACAAGGCTTTTTGTGCCATCCCTCCCCCTTTCCCCTCGTTTTGAAAGTCTTGCAGGAAAGTGTCTAATATGCAGCTCCAACCTATCCCAAAGGGGCTGGTGATTTGATCTGGAACCAGATCAAGGAATCAAGGCAGCAAGTACTTTGAACAAAAATTAATGAAAGGGAGAGGAAGATGAAGAAGGAAAGGGATTAGTCTGCTCTTCTCGTGGATTACACAGACACATTCCGTTATGTTTCTATTGCACAAAAACAAAGAACTGGGTACAGACATTCCAACATTGGCCTAGTTTAGGTTTAGGTCTTAAATCTAGATGAATAACCCCTCAATTATTCAACTGTGGATTATCAAAAGGAAATATTTATTTTGGAGATGGCTTTTCTCAGAGTGAGCGTATTCCTGGGCCCTTTCCCTCATTTTGTGTTTTGTGTTTTTTTTTTTGGATGAATTTTGTGGGTAGTGCTGGGACGTACTAAAGCCAATTGGTACTGGTTCTGATTGTTACATTTTCGGTGTGATCATTTATACCTCGCAAATCTTCAAATGCCACAAATCAGGACTTGATTTATTGTTTCCTTGATTGTCTACACTTGAAAAAGTGATGGAGAAAATGTGGATAATGTAGATTAAACAGAAAAGTGCATCCTGCATACAATTCTCTTTTTTTTTCTCAGAAAGCTGATCATTAAACATTTACCAGAACACCCCTTTAGTAAGTCTGCCTTGAATCCAGGAACACTTGGGTCTAAATCTCTTATTTGACATGTATTGCTGTATGACCCTGGGCATGTCACTGTACCCCTAAGTATTCTAAACAGCTCACTATGACTATAAGTTGCAAAGAAGGTATTAATTAGCATTGATAGAGGGGCTTTTCTCACTTGGAGAACTTGGAAGTCCTCTACAGCAATGAAATGGCAGGTTTATTATTATAATCTTAAAATATAACCTTTTATTTTTATATATACTCATATATGTGCACATCATCTCCCCTGATAAGCTCCATGGAGTGAGGGTGAGGGACCAATTTTTTTTGGTCATTTTCCAGCACCCAGTAGACTAGGTAGTGATAAATATTGGTTGAATAATTGGTTGATCCATCAATTAAAATGGAAATATGTATTAATTTAATATTAGATAAAGCAAAATGTGATCAGAAGAGCAAATTTGATTTTTTCCAAAAATCATATCGCCCATTAACTAAGCCACATATAAATGCTATGAGGATAGTTCAGTTAATACATACATACATATATACACACAAACTCACATCTATCTATCTATCTATCTGTCTATCTATCTATCTATCTAACCTCACATTGCCTTCTTCTAGTAGCACAGTTACCATTTTGTCTATAGTTTAGACAACATTTCATCTGCTTGGAACAGTTGGAATGACAAGACAGATCTTCCAATTGGTCAGACTAAAAGTCAAAACACAAACAAACTTGGAATCACTCTTCCTGATATGAAGACTCAGCTCTTCTGTTTCAGGAGGGAGAAAACCACAATTCTGAGAAAGGTTTCACAGTCTGACATACTCACATATAATATGGATTAATAAGTGAAATGGAAATAATGATATCAAATTCAGTTTTGAGGGCATAAACCTCCATGTCATTGGGTTCTTTTAAGACTAGCCCAGAAACTAGCATATAGCAAATCCCTACTTTTGGGAAGGCCAGTAGCTATGAGATAGATCTCAGATCTTTGGTTTAATGAAAAAACAACAAAAAAGTAGGCAGTTGGTTAAGCTGTAGTTATTGTAATGCATATACTATAGACCCTTATGATATTCTTATTTCTTAAATCACTGGCTACATTCTCTCTAGTTTATCTTCTTATTTTTCATAAACATTCTTCTTTTCTGATACTCTATAGTTTTTTCCATTGACTATATTTTCTCAGTCAGTTCATCATATTAAGAATGATATATATTTTTTAACATCAGAGAGATTTTGTTTTGTTATTGAAGATGAGAGAATTCGGTATTCTTGTGATGAAATGGGAAATATTTTTTAAAAGAACCAAAAATGGAAAGAAAATATGCAAAAATAAAAAAAGAACCTTCATAACTGAGCATCATAAACTAACTCTGGCCAACTCTCAACCTGAGCATAGCACACACACCACCAACAAAAGCTTTTTTAATATTTATTAATATTCACATAAGATTGACTAAAGAAAAGCAAATAGTTAAGTTTCAATAAGGGATTTTTAAAACATCACCAATACATTTTAAGAAAAATTATTTTCAAGAATATGGAAGTTAACCTGACAGTGCCTTACAATTTATTGAGGAGCAAAGTGGCGGTCCCAATTATAGATTTAAACTCAAAAGCTTTTGGCTCCAAGTCTAGGTTTGCAGCTAGCAATCTAAAGCCTCTGTCGATGATGGATCGTTTTCTCATCTATAAAATAACAATCGATATTGACACCACAAAATGAACGTTAATATTTTGAACGTGTTAAATATTAAGTTTTGTCCACCTAATCCATTTGTGTGGAAAGCAGTTCCTTCTTCTGAAAAAAAAAAATGAACGTTCAAACACCAACCCACTCACCTTCCCCACCTCCTCCCAAAGAAAGGAAAAGCGGTTGAATGAGAAAACTCAACTCTTTCAGATTAAATTGGAGTGGAGAGGACCGGATCAACAATATGCAATTATTTGAAGATCTCATTTGTTCAGATCTTGAAATAACTCAGGTTCAGACATCCTTGTGGGATAATTTCAAAGAGTGTCTAATATTAGGGAGAGTGTTTTCTTTGGCTGTTGAGCTTCAAATCACAGGTTCTCTGGTTGTACTCCTTTTCCTATTGCTTCTATTCCTGCAATGCACAGTTTGTTCCATAAAGATGCCAATAATACTTCACACTGAACCTTTCCCTTGGGGGTCTTTGAGCAATTTTAGAAACATGTTTCATCTTCACTTTTTATGAATGTGGAAATGGAGACAAAGGCAGCTTCAGTGAATTCCTCAAGGACAGCAGAGAAATCTGCAGCAAGACTAGAAGAGAAAGTTATAACCCCAACCTCTTTGTCCTCTGTTCTATTACAACATGCATTTTCTTTGACTAGTGAGATCATGGGCCAGAAAGAGAGTTTCTCTTTTTCTTTATGAATAACTTGTAGCAATTGACTAATATATAATGAAACATAACTTAAAACTTTTGGTTTATAAAAGGATCATGTTGCTAGTCTATTTTTACAAATTTTAAACTTAAAACATTAAAAAAGGAACTTTTCTATTCATATGCACCAGAACCCTAAAAGTAGAATCTCTATAAAACTGCAAATATTCATTTCATACCACTTGCATTTAAGTTGTTATGTATAGGTGTTTATATGTATATGTGCATATATGTGTGTTTATATATGTATATATATACATATAAATATATATACATATTATTTTAAAAATTGTCCTGCTTGCCGTGCTTCCTTCTAATCTCCATTTTGTTCTTTTAAGTGCATTTTAAAAACTATTTAAGTGACCTTTTTTGGAGGGGGATCACTGTTGCTAATCCTAATCTCACCCCAACTATTACCAATTGAGTGTTCTGCTGAAGTAGGTGTTGGGGCCCTGGGCAGTCAGTCATCTTGGGAGAAAGTCCTTTTTTAATGTATTTTCTTCTCTTTGTTTCTTGGTTACTTTATTGATCCATGATTTTATCTATATGGTATTCCCCCCAAAATATAGATCATAACCGGCCCATCCCATTCTCATCCAGTTGGACTCTTTTCTATTTATGCCCTGCTATTAATCTCCCAAAGTGGTTCTTTTGCTGGATACTCTATTGATATCGCAACGATTCTAATGGATCATGTGAACTGTCTACAAGTCATTTTAGGTTCTTGGTACCTGATATTCTTTTCCGGTCATATCTGATGACATCTTTTATGCCACCACTGGGGGATTCTTTACTGGTAATGTGTTATAGGCTTCTCATACCTATCATGTGCCTTTACTTTGCCCTGCAACTTAAATTCTTAAATAATTTTTGTATTTTATGACTGACAGCCTTATAGTATCTTATAATTAAACTACTATTATAGAAAGATGACTTTGTTTCAGGGATGAACTTGGGGTTGTTAAAAGTACTGGGAAATTTCCCAAAGGCAATCAAGTGTTTCCTCTTCCTATCATTTGATTCTGGGTCCATTTTATTGTGTGTTTTCAGTGTCTAGCCAAGGTATATGTACTAATCTATTGTCTGTCCAACTACATATCATAGCTTGAACTATAGAAAAGCAATATCTATTTAATTTTTTGTAAATAATAATAATAATAATAATAATAGCTAGCATTTATATGGTGCTTTAAAGTTTGCAAAGAACTTTATATTACATCATTTGATCCTTACAACAACCTTGGGAGAAAGACACTATTATTTTCCCCATTTTACAGAGGAAGAAAACAAGGGAGGCAGAGTTTAAGTGGCTTGTCCAGGGTCACAGATCTAATAGGTATTGGAAGGTGGAATTCAGCTCAGGTCTTAGTGACTCCAGGTACTCCATGCATGGTATCACTTAGCTGCCTTTGAGTTGAACTCTTTTGAGCAATTGTAGACCTTATTTAGGAGAGTTTGCATTGTTCTGTCTTGATGCAATCAGCACAATGGCATTTGCAAACAAAAATTTGGAAGGACCTCATCATCTATAGCGTAACCTGGTTTCATTTAGACTCTGCACTGCATTGCCTTCATGACAATGGCAAAATCTTTTGGAGATACAGCTTTATGTTTTACCACTCATTTGATAGTAGTGATCTTTTTATTTACAGCTTTAGTGGCAAATTCTTTTCATGAGCCTTCTTCATGTCATACTTTCTCAATTTTTTCTTAAAAAAAACCCACTAAAACACAAGAAATGTGCTACCCTTACCTCTCCCTCTGAACACTTTTTCATCCTCTTCCTCCAAGTAATCTTCTGAAGTGAAATGAAGTTAGAAACAAATTCAGTTCAGTTGCTACAAGTAAGAAAAACAATGATACAAGCAGATTTCATCAATGCATCATCACTGGCTTCCCTAGACTGCTTCCTATTACATGCAAACAATGGATCACAGATCATTAGCCTAGGTGAACACAAATGAATACCTGTGAACTTCCCCCACTGGCCACAGTGACAAAAGTGGAAAGGAGAGTCAAGGGAAATCATTATGGCAGAACCAATCTGGTGCCTTCGAGGTTTGATTAATGTTTCACCTATAAGCCCTAATCATTCTTACCACAATGTCCCTCTGGCTCACTAAATGCTTTATCACCACTATGCTATCTTCATACCACTCTTGCCAGAACACTCTTCCTTTCGTCTTGCAAAATTATGAAGATATGTAAATGTCCTACTCATCATGAGTTGGATGTCAGCTGGGATTCACAAAGACTATTTCAGCAGACAAAAAGCTCTGGCAGGGTTTTTAACCAACCTAGAAAGACTTTGAGTATTGGCCCAGGGACACACTGTGATTTCTATCACGGACCAAACAAGTCAGCTCCATTTCATCACCAGTTCAACACCACTATATTGACTACAGTGTTCCATGAAATATGGTCCCAAGTCTTCTGTAGCCCCTTTTTCTTCTGCATTAACTGGGCTTGAGCACAAGAAAATGGTGCTGGAAATGCTAAGAATCATGATTTGTAAATAGTCTCAAAACATTCAAATAACTTTTGGTTCTGCAAATGCAAGACCTTTGTCCAGTGACTAAGATGCTGCTACTGTTGTCATACTTGCAGAGGAAGCTCTAAGATAAGTGGGCTGGTAGTGTTACATAACACTAAGGTGTTATATGCTATATATATATATTATATAACACCAAGGTATTATATAATATATATCTACATATGTATATTATATATAGTGTTATATAACACTAAGGATTTGTAGAACATGAAAAAAGAAACACAGAGGATGAAAAGATAAATATTGAGTGTTGTCTGTATCATTGGAGTGAATGTCCACACTGATGGGACTATAAATCCTTTAAAATATTTGTATTATCTATCTATCTATCTGTCTGTCTATGGGTTGGTTTAGCCAATCTTACTTTAATGATTCAAGAACTTGGTACTTTCCTGGTAGAATTACTTCATCAATCAATGAAGGATGCAAGCTCTCTAGGCATACAGATAATCTTGGGAGATTACTATGTTCAAAAATGTCATTCCCCTAGGGTTGAATTTGTGATACCCATCCAAACTAAATTAGGTAGGTCCTTGGACATAACCATGGTGTCTGTCACTGAGCATCACATCATCTGAAATGTTTCCAAATTGGTAGGGTCTGACAGACCTTACATTCCAGTGGTATAGCCCTGAAAACCCAGGGTCATTTCTATACCACAACGAGACTATCACATGTTCATGTATTCAAATTTATATGCACTTAAATATCATATGCATTCAATAATATACATGTACCCTCATTTCATTAAATTTAAGTGGATCCTGTGTAACTTTTTGAAATATTTGTTTGAATTAGTTTTTATTCTAATTGATTTTTGTAGGCTTACAGCTTTTACCTGTTAGGTTGGTAGTATCTTAAAATAAAGACAGGAAGTTAATAGTTTAGAAGACTTAATTATACTCCTGGACTGCTAGTAATGTACTCTCTGATCACTTTTGGTAAGGAAAAATTTATAATTTCTTAAGTAGACATTGTTTTTATCAATATCAATTAATTTTCCGACATTCTTCATATTTTTAATTTAGACTTTTGAAACGATTATCTTAAAAAAATCTCAGAAAGTTTCTGTGATATTATAGGATGAGCGCCACTGGTCTTTGCACAAGAAAAGTAGACTTGCATTCTCGCTCAAACTTATTACTTGTGTGACCCTGAATGAATCATTTCATCTCTGTGAAACTCACTTTCCTCATTTGCAAGATGGCAAGAATAATACCATTATTATCTATCTTGTAGACCTAATGTAATGTAGTAAACCTTAAGTCACCATCTATTTCAATATGGCAAGTGTTTCATGCGTGCCTATGTTGTCCCTAATAATGCAATTTTGAACCACTTCATACCTTGGTAAAGAGTTACAGATAGAACTGCTTTGGCAAAAAAAAGAAAGAAAGAAAAAAGACCACTTTCTAACCAGCCCTCTGATGATAAACCTTTGAACTGAGCTGCTCTTTGGAGGATAACACACCATCCATTACTGTGCTGGGCCCTTACTCAAAGCATCTCTAGCTTGCTAGGATTTGTTGTGCTCAGTTACCTTGGTCTTCAAGTACCCAGGATCACATCCATGCCAGCATGAGGCATTGTAATAAAATTTTAGTGGATGATAGCACTATATAAATGTGAGCTATTATTAACTTGGCTTCTGTGTTTTCTTTCTTCTAATGCCCCATTTCCTTCTATTCCCAGGCATAAATATATTCCACCAATATATTAGTATTTCTCTTCAGTTAAATGCCACTAGCAAGTCTAGGTAAGTATTCTTAGTTGAAAATACTTAAAATCATACCAGGAATAAAAAAAATGATAAACTTTATAGTGTAAGAAAAAGAGAGCATCTTATATTGTAGTGTATTTGAGGAAGAGTATACAACAGCAATATATTTGCTGATAAGCCTGGTAAAAGTCATGATAAATATACAAAGTTCTATATCTTTGTTAATAAAGAAGTCATGATAAGTACTAGAGGCTGCTGTGATATACCCAGTAGGAAGTAGTTAGGTGGTTGACTGATAGCCATCTGTTAAACACCTCCACTATTTTCTGTTAAGGCTCTCTTCGTCTGCATTTTAAGGGCTACTGAGAAGGCTCTCTAACATGGAAGGGGGGTGGGCTTACCTCCAAATAGAATGTAGTCTTGGTTCTGGAGACAGAAAGTAAATATTCACTGAATCTAAAATCATTCTTTCTCTCTATAAAAGTAAAACATGGTGTGGATGAGTAATGATTAGCCACATCTTCCTTAAGTGTAAACCACTTCCTGAGTGAATGCATTTTCTAGAATCGTAGCATTTTAGAGCTGGAGAGATCTTAGATGTGGCCTAGTTCAACGGTCTCATTTTCCATATGAGGAAATTGGGGTACAAAGAGGTCAAGAGACTTCTCCAAAGACATTTAGCTTGCCAAAGACAAGATTACAACCCAGGTCTTTGATTGTGAACTTTGAAAGTGACTTTCTACTCCATCAAACAGACTGCAGAAGTTAGGAGACTTGATCACATAACAAATCAACAATGTCAGTGGAACTAAAACCCAAGTCCTTACTGGTCATCAGTTCAAGGATCTTTCCATAAATTGTGCTGCTAAATGGACAGACTTTAATTCAGTTTGACTGCTAGTGGAAACTTGGAATGAGAGTATTAATCATCTTTAATACATTTATATAAATGGATTCCCCCCCCCTTTTTTGGTAACTTTTCATTGGAATTTAACTTAGGGATAAAAACTGGGTGTGGTGATGGTAAAAATAAAGGAATCAATGTATTTATTATAGGCAAAACTAGCCTCGTATTTTTATGTTCCCTTTGCCCAATCCATACTTAGGATAGGGGTATTCATGTTTCCAGGGGAGGTCCAAAGATTAGTATCATCATTCCTTTTGCCTCATGGTCTGCTGGTTATTTCACTGTGGGGGTGGGAGGAGGCTGGTCCTGGTAGAAGGAACAAGGTTTCTGAATAACTGAGTGAAGGGACAGTAGAAGAGTTTGACTGCCTCTTTTCTGATTGTGACCACGCCCTAACTATAGTTATATAGTAATAGTTATAGTAACTATAGTTAGTCTACATCTTGCTAACCCTTTCATCATTTTGTAAGTACTGTTTTCCTACTTCCTACTTCCACATGGAAATTCCTAGTTAGGCCTCTGTCCTGAACAATAACAAGGGGCCTAGCAAAAGAAAAAGGATGAGTTTAAGCTGGGGGCAGGTGTGAATTGAACAAAAACACACTCAACAAGATGAATAAGATTGGTTCAGGTTGAAGGAGTGGGGCTATGCTTGTGGAAACTGATGGCTTTGGAAAATGGCTTACAAAAATACTTGTAATGCTTTTATAACCATCACTGCTTGAAAAGGCAGGCATAGCAGAGATCAGCATAATTAGGGAAACTTATAGAATTGATTTTCAAGTATCAACTATTTATTTTCAAGTCTTAACCATCCCCTCTGAGTATTTCTCTTAAACAGAGATGCTTATTAAATGGGAGAATCTACTTTGGGGGTGCTAGCTGGTATGCCTAATGAATAAAAGAATGAGTAAGGAAATGCATGTTCCAACATTACAGTATAGCTAATCTGCATGGCAATCACTGATTCACTTGCTGTCCCTGTATTGCCAAGGGCTATTTGGTAATTTTTAAAGGCACTGATTTCAATTAAATATTTCAACATGTATTTATTAAGTTACTGTTGTTTGCTTATTTCAGACTATGTTAGGCATTGAGAGAGATAGAAATTTTAGATGAGAGTCTCTGCCCTCCTGGTGCTTATAGTGAAATGGAAGTATATACTACACATACAGATGACAATAATAATAAATATGCTGTTTAATACATAACATAATAAAAAGTTCCTATTCTCTGACCTGGCTCCATTCAGCTCTTTATTTTTACCGTTTTCATAAGTAGGGAAAAGATACGTTATAGCCTAGTTCAGGTAGATGAATCTGCCACTATTTGCACTTGGTCTTACTGATCAAAGCTTCCTAGACTTTAGCTCAGGATAAAAGTTTAGAAGATGCCCATGAATAAATCAGACTTGGCTTCAGAGCTCCTATCCAGGTAAACAGATTACTTTGCCATAGTAGGAGATCTTAAGAGCTACTCAACAAGAACAAAGATTCTCATTTCTAAGCAAGAATGGAAAGAAGGGAGGGAGGGATGGAGGAAGGAGGAAAAAAAGTAGGAGAAGGAAGGAGGGATGGAAGGAAATAGCGAAGGAGAAGGAAGGAGAGAAAGAAGAAGAGATGGAAAAAAAGGAGGAAGAACAGAAGTAAGGAAAGGAAGGAAGGAAAGAAGAATAGATAGAAAGAAGGAAAGAATTGTTTTTAAAGTGCCTACTATGTGCCAGGTATTGCACTGTGTTTTACAGTTATTGTCTCATTTGGTCCATGTATCAACTTTGTTAGATGGATTCTATTATTATCCTCATTTTACAGTGGAGGACAGAAGTTAATTGACTTGTCTAGGGTTCACCCAGCTAGTGTCTGAAGCTATATTTGGACTCAGTCCTTCCCGACTCTAAGCCCACCTCTCTATTCATTGTGTCACCTAGATGCCCCTAGAGGATATGGAGAAATGTAAAGTTTCTGCTTTTTGCTGCAGTCAAATAACTGTTCTGTGTGCTCATAGTATAAAGGGTCCTCCCTACATGAATGTCATAAGGAAGGCTAGGGGCAGTGGTAGCATGGTGGCCTAGTAACTGGTGGAGAACATTTAGCTGAAGATAAATACATGGAACTAGAAAAAGAAGTGATATTGTCACCAGAATATACTATGGACCACCGAGACAGAAAGGGGAAGTAGATGAGGCATTTGGGAAACAAGTCATGAGTCAGACACCGGGCCTAGTATATAATAGTGATGGAGGACTTCAATTTTTCTGATATCTCCCATAGCTCACTTTCTCTGCTAGAAGCAACAAAATGATTTAAAAAAATGCCTCAATAATAATTTTATTCTTTAAAAAGCTGGAGAAAGAAGCAATAATAGAAGGGCTATTTTGGACCTAAGTATGACCAAAAAGGATGATTAAAATAGAGACAATGAGAACTTTTGAGGGAGGTGTCCACACTTTCTTCGAATTCAAGATAAACAAGGGGATAGAGTGGGATTTAGTTTCTGCCTTGTAGCAAAAAGATACAGTTTGAAATTCAGGCAGCTGTGCTTAATTTGTGAAAACACTGGCATCACTGTGTATGGGGGAGGGGAGGTTGAAATGTGCTCATTCATCTGAGAAGAACATTCCATTTCCAATAACTTTGATCCCAAATCAGAAGGCTCATCACAGGGAATATTCTGGGCATCTTGATTATTATTGTTAGTTTTAGAGTATTGTAAACATACCAGATGCTTCAGAAACCAAGAAACACAAACATAAGAGCCATTCCCTGGGGAACTGGTGATCAAAATCTAAAGCATGAAATTGTAAAGTGTTAAGGCAATCTAGTGCGATGGATGCATGGATCATGCTTTTGACCTCTCCCCCCTGTTGTAAATTGAGTCTGACACATGACTCTCGTCCTTTCCGGAAACAAATTCCAAAACCCATAGTGGACTATATTTATCCTGCACGCAAGTCTTGGAAATATATCTCCCCCCTTCTGAACAAATATCACAAGATTAATTGATTTTCTCCACTTTGTGCCAATCTCCCAAAGTTACTTTGATGTTCACCTTGAAATTAATCTGTCCTTGTAAAAGATCATCTATATATGCTGAATTTACAACTTAATATGTAACTGGAAGGAGGTTAAAGAACAAAAGCTCATTCAGACTTCCCCCTGTGAGAGGGCATAGCCTCACTTGTGGAAATTCATGTTCACCCTTCCACAAAATCAACATACTCATGGATTGACAGAGTTTGGTGTATCCAAAGGTAGGGCCACAACAGTTTATCCTAGCCCATATTCTCCTAGGAGACTGTTTAGGAAAACAAATGTGAGGGGGACAGTTTAATATGGAATTAGAATCTAAGTATTTGGTTAATTAACATCTTATGTAAAGCACACAGTGTTTTTTAACAGAGGAAGAATCTAAATGGCAGTGTAATATTTGCATTTCTGAAACCTGGTCCAGAAGTTTGTGAAATCACAACTGCTCCTTTTCATTTGTTTGAAGGTTGCCAAGAAGCTTTTGATACTTGACCCATTAGGAAGGACACACACATGAATGAATAACAAAAACAAAACAAATCAGATTAAAACCAGGTGGCTTATCTGGCTACCTCTCAATGCCAGGCAGAGCTGATGGACCAATACCAATGCCACAGTTAGTCCACTACCTCTCACTGATGGACTCCACCATTGGCCTTTGGTTTTTTTCTCAGTATTTTTAGTTGCTGTTCTTTGCATTCTAAGGTATCGGACTAGAAATGTTTGAAGCAGGATTATCATGATCTCTAAAGGACTAACCTGTTGGACAAGAAAACAAGGCCCTACGCTGATCTTAGCAAACTGCTTCCAGTGGGTAACCACTCTACTTACAAGAGTGTTATGGTTCGGGTGGGCTGAAATGAATTGTTTTGAGCCTGGGGAGAGTTTCAGAAAATAATTTCAGATATTTAATTCTGAAGTTCTTATACTTGATCTTAATATGCAGTTAGATGGACAACCTTTAGAAATTGCTCATCAATGTGTGTGGACAAGCTCTCTATGCTGATATTATATGTGTGTGTGTATATGTGTATATATATATATATATATATATATATATTTGTATAAATGTAAACAATGTGTCATCCCTCTATACTGATATATATATATCATCTTATACATTTATATGCATGTACATATATATGAATGAGTGATAAAAATTATTAAGTACTTACTATATGTCAGGTATAATGCTAAGTACTGGGGATATAAATACAAAAGCAACATAGTCGCTGGCCTCAAGTAGCTTACATTTTAATAAAAGAGGCAGTATGTATAGGGGGATGGTAGGAAGAGAAGGGCGTTTTGGCTTGAAAAGCCACAGAGATAGTGAATTAAAGTTCTGTATAAAGAGGTAGAAACTGGAGGTGAGGAGGCTACATGGTTGGCAAATGAGCAGGGCAAGGATGAAGAGGCATGGGCAGAGGGGGTGCAAAGCCACATGGCTAAGGTCTTCCTAGGCATGGCCTCTGGTTTGAGAGGTGAGACAGAAGCAGTAGCAATAGTAGTAAAAAGGAGGAAAATGGCCTG